GGGCACGAGAGCAGTGGAGGGGGGAAGGCGTGAGAGCAGGGAGGGAGTGAGGCATGAGAGCAAGGAGGGAGTGAGGCACGAGAGCAGGGAGGGAGTGAGGCATGAGAGCAGGGAGAGAGTGAGGCATGAGAGCAGGCGTGAGTGCAGGGGAGGGGGAGAGGCGTAAGAGTAGGGGAGGGGGAGAGATGGGAGAGCATTGAGGTATGAGGTGCGTGATAGGGGGGGATGTGGGAAGGCGCAAGAGCCATGGAGGGAGCGAGAGGTGAGAGAAGGGAAGGGAAAGAGGGGTACGAGTAGGGGAGTGGGGAAAGGGAGAGTGCAGCCTGGAGGAGATGGGGAGGGGAAGAGGCGTGAGGGCGGGGGAGGAAGAGGCGTGAGGGGCATGGGAGGGGGAGAGGGTGTTAGGGTAGGGGAGGGGGAGTGGCGTGAGTGCAGGAGAGTGGGGAAAGATGGATTGCAGTGAGGGTAGGGGGGTAGGAGTGAGAGCAGAGGAGTGGGAGAGGCGTGAGGGCGTGAGAGGCAGGGACAGCTGGAGGAGATGGGGAGGGAAAGGAGCATGAGGAGAGGGGAGGCAGATACGCATGAGGGCAGGGGAGAGGGAGATGCATGAGGGCAGGGGAGGGGGAGAGGCATGAGGACAGAGGAGGGGGAGTGGCATGAAGCAGGGGAGGGGGAGAGGGCAGTAAGTGTGAGCGGGATCCCGGCAGGACAGGCAGTAAACACTCTATAACTAACCCCTCTCAACCCCCGCCCCCCCACTAACGTATGCCCCCATCTCTTTCTCCCCCCCCCCCCCCCCTCCCCCCCCTCCCCTCCTCCCCGCTCTCTCGCAGCCTACCGGGTGGCACATGATTGCCAGTCAAGCTCACCTTGGACAACCTCTCCGTTAAAAGCCAGACTTCACCCCAAACCTATCCACTCACTCCCCTGTGCATCTCTCAACAAACCACATTCTGTGGGTGATCTCCGTGCGGCCACGCATTCAGACATTCAGCCGTTATTGGCAAATGCTAACCATGTCTCTTCTCTAGCATCATCTACGACGGCTGCAGAAAATGGAAATTATGTAACCCTACATATGTGAACGACACCTTGTAACTGAGTTGGTCCAGGGTTGTAAAGCCAACTTGAATTTTGAGGTCCCTCAAGTTTGTTACATTCTTCCTGCCACATATATATGCGACCTTTTCAGGTTATGAACGGCTTGTCGGTCGTTCTGTAAGAGTACATGAACTTGGCACCAATTTTGGCAACAAGAGTAGCTTTTTATCTTTAGCATAAAGTCATATTAGTCTAGATACATTCAGAAAGTCAAGTTCCCATGGAAAGCGATTTAATCTACTAAACAAATCCAAGACACACACTGAGATATATCGAAAACGTCTTAGCATATATAGTAACAAGTGTTGGCTACAACACCTCCATCCAACCACCAAGAAGGGCGTAGTCCAACGGAATCGGTGCAAAACACGGCTTTATGAAATTTGTGAATACCAAACTGAACCGAATTGAATCGCAAATTACAGCGTGCTATAGAGCGCGCGGATTTTGGGATCCAAAATTTCAGGTCCTATTTGCTTGATATTCGGGTCTGTAGAAACACGCCCCTATTCACAAAATGACGTGCTGACCAATCACACACCCTTTGCCCCCACCCTTCACCTGCAACCGAACCCAACAAAATTTATTCATCCAACTCAGCCCCTGCACCTCGTCCAACCAATCAAAATCTGCCAAGTGGTTCCAGAGCGGCTAATCCAGCTCAACCACCTGCTCGCCCCAACCACCCAGCCCACCACGCTGCACCCCACATGCCAGCACTCCAGCCCACCACACACTTCTGATCCCTTCCTTACTTGCCCCCTTGTGCCCTCTCATGCCTTCCAGCTAGACGTTACTTACAATAATAGCCCTCGGCAGTTCTATCTGCATCAGTTTCAGCTCCCATTCTCGCCTTCGCGCCCCCTAGTGAGCAGCTCCTTCCTCTCCCACAGGCTTCGATTACCATGGTCGTTCTTAGTGCGCCCTATGCTGAGGATCTCGTTTCACGATGGTCTATCGTTTCAAGCAGCTCGTAGGTGACTAGTCTTGTTCACCCATGTCATTCTTATCTGCATGTTCATGAGCTAATGCGCCATTGGGGGGGCGGGAGAGTAAGGAGGGCGAGGGGGAGGAGGCGGCACGCAGAAGCGGTATCTTCGGGAGGCGGGGCGCCTGGCGGAGTACCTAGATGCGCGCATGGAGGCGGCCACCAAGTGCGCGGACGCCAGCAGATGCGAGCACGGTGGTGAAACATCTCTTCCCTTGTTTCGCTTCTCGCCACTGTCCTTTTCCTCTCTCCTGTACTCGTTCCGTCTATGCCCGTCTCGATCCCCCTTTCGTGCCCTCTCTCCCTTTTCGCTCGTCCCAGCTGCTCTTTCTCCCCCTCGCCCCTGGAGCTGTGCTTGCCATGTGTGTGCTTGCCACGTGTGTGCTTGGCGCAGCAGTGGTGCGGCGTGACTCGTGCAGAGAGGCATGGCTAGTAGTGTGTGTGGGAAGGTGGAGGGGGCAGAGCGGAATGGAGAGCATCCGCTCTCGTGCACTCCCCTTCTCACGCGCATGCCCCATCCATCCGTCCATCGTGTGTGCGCTGCAGGTTGGGCACAGCAGCAGCAGGCCCGAGGAGCAGTGAAGGGGGGCATGCTGGCGCCATGGGTGGTGCGCTGCCAGACGACGTGAGCGCCATGGCGTATGCGCACGACCTGCCACCCAAGGTGCATACATGTGCCTTGCTATATGCATGGCGGTGTGAAGCCATCCCTGGCAGCCCATCCGTGTGCCTCTGTTCTGCCTGTTGCGTGCCCATGCCACCCCTTTTGGCTCTTGCACGCCACGCCTCTCCATGCGACCTACCACTCTCCTTGCCTTTACTCACCTCTTTCTTTCACATGGCTGCATGGAATCACATGGCTGCATGGCATGGCATGGGCGCATGGCACATGGGTGCATGGCATCACATGGGTGCATGGCATCACATGGGTGCATGGCATCACATGGGTGCATGGCATCACATGGGTGCATGGCGTGGGTGCATGGCATCAGGTGCATCTGTGGCAGCACCACGAGTCTCTCTCCTCGCGCCATCTCTCCTCCTCCCTCGCCTCCCTGCACCGTTACTTCGACTACAGGTGAACAGTCATGGCCAGGCGGAGAGGGGGGGGTCATACAGGTGCCACGGATGGGTTGCTGGAGTAGAGAGGCCCATGAGAGGGCATTCGCAGGCACGTGCGAGTGTGGGGGCAGTGGGAAGGGCCTGCTGCATGACAGGGCAAGGAAGTGTGGGGGAGAGTGTGGCGTTCGCACGTTGATACGTGTGATCGTGTGAGTGTGCTGTGCACGCGTGGCCCTCATGGTGAGGCGCCACGAGGAGTGCAGCCACCGCCGCCACAAGGAGTGCAGCCTCCATTCTGTTCTTCCATGTCTGTGCGCTCTTCCCCGACTCTTGCGCACACCGTCACTCCACCCTCCCGCTTCCGCCCCCTGCCACCCCCTCCTCTCTCCAAGCAGTGCGGGCGTGACAGCGGTGGGTAGTCGCCCGGCGTCGGAGTGGTGGGCGGGGCGATTCCAGGCGGGGCTGCTGGTGGAGGGCGCCATGCACGCACGATACGGGCACACACAGCACGCCATGGGGGTATGAAGGCATTTGTTACTTGACGTATCAATCAAACTAATGATTCGCATGTGTCCTCACGATGCTTGTCTTTATCGCAGCTAGCTATGTAACTCTGTCCAACATCGAGATAATTCCCCATGTAAGTCCAATTGTAAGTCTCGCTGGTCATTTGATCGTCGGACTAATTTCACAACAATGTCTCGTATGACGTGCAGAAATTTGTAGCCTACCACGAGCTATTTCCTCCGGTAAGCTGGCTCTTGTAATTGCTATCGTATGGAATATAACTAATTTGATTACAATGTTTGAACCTAATGTGCAGGACTCAATATCCAGCGTCGCGCTACTTCGTTGTTGTAAGCATTGTCCTTATTGTTGGTGATTTCGACCTTGGATTAATTTCGAGATAACAAGTTCTGTACGTAACGTGCAGGAATTCCAATCCAGTTTCAAGAATTGCTGCTCCTGGTGTGCCGCCGCTCAGTTTCTCTTTGTGTTAGTGCGGGACCCACATAGGGGTGCTGGTAGGCAAGGGCGGTTGGGCCATAGTGGTTGTGTACTGTGGTGTGGATGTTTTTTTAATATATCAAATAATTTGCATGTTGCATTATAAGTAAATCCAAACGAGGCATGCCCTAATTGTACTGAACCATGCCCAAAAGGGTACTGCAGCCTGCAAAAACGGATCCATGAAAAACACCACCAAACGTTTGCAACAAATCATGCTGAATACTAAAAATGGTGAGCATAAACTTCTCTATTCATTTACATGTTTACTGCAAAAGTTGTAGAAAGAACACCGCCATGCATTTGTAAACGAACCACGGAGATTACCGAAAAGACACCTCTAAGCATTCGCTGTCGTGAACCAAAAAGTGTTTCGGGAAATGTTGCCCAAGCATTCGCCAAGTGTTCTGATCTTAGTCCGCCATGAATTTTCACCCACATGTTCGCAAAACGTTTGCAAAGCATTCGCTCGAATGCTACGCAATCGTTTGCGAGCACACCTTTTTTGCGATGTTCTGTGGTTGGTGGAGAGCGAAGCTGCCCAGGCCCTTCGTGCACTCCTCGGATCTTACTGCTGCTGCTCCTGCTGCCGCCGCCGCTAGTGGCAGTGCTGGTGGTGTGCGTGCAGCGGGGAATAGCCGAGGGCATCTCCATTCGTCACGCGTGCAGCAGCCACAATGCAGAAAAGCACCACGTGCAGGCAGCAGTACGGTGGCCTGGGGTGCTGATGCTGTTGCCGCCGGCTGCTGAAAGACATCACCTCCTTTAGCTACATGCGTAGCAACAACAGCACCACCACCAACAGCGTGAGCACCACCAACCACGTGAGCAGCACCAACAGCGGAGCAGCACCAACCACGAGAGCAGCACCAACCACGTGAGCATCACCAACTGTGTGAGCAGCACCAACCGCGTGAGCAGCACCAACCGTGTGAGCAGCACCAAACGCGTGAGCAGCACCAACCGCGTGAGCAGCACCAACTGCGTGAGCAGCACCAACCGCGTGAGCAGCACCAACCATGTGAGCAGTGACGACAGCAGCAGCAGCGATTATGGCACGATGGGATTCAGCCACGCTGCAGCTGTCTTCCACACGACGGCCACCTCAGACAAGCCCCCTGGCTCCCTCTGACCTGCATGCCTGCTTGCTCTTGTCGGTGCTCCCAGTTCAACCCGCATCTCCCCTCTTCCTTGGCACTGCTGCCTTCCTGCCACCACCTTGACCGCCCGCAAGGCCACCATCTCTATTGCAGCAAACTTGATCTGAGCAAGCAGAAGCGATGGTGGCTCATTAATCAGGGCAGTGCAGAGCAAGCCACACAATGAGGGCAAGGCAGGGCCTCAGATTCGTTTGGGGCACACTGATCGTTCAGGGTCCTCCCTGTCAAACATATTTGTATCAGGGTTTCAGCTAGGATTTAGGGCTGTCTGAAAATCAGACGGGGTTCCAAAGTTTCGTCTGACCATCCGACGAAAAATTTCAAGGAGTCTGAGATTTCATACGATTTTGTAACGCAAGTCTGAACATTCAGACGAAATTTTTGCTGCAAGAAACCTCGCCACTTGCAAATTCAGACTTCGATTTTTCCGTTTCCTTGTTTCTTGCTGAGAGCCTGTTCCTACAAACGTCTTCCCAGACTTGGACCCGCCTACGAGCGCGTTCGAAGGTTCCTTGTCAAGCTAAAATCGTTTCAGTATCACAATTCTCAGCTGCTTCGAATCTGCTTGCGTCAAAATCGTACTGTACGGATGCAAGACTGTCTAAAAAAGGCGCGCCCAAGAAGTTTGAAAACAGAGCCTGAACATCGACAATCACAACCCTGTGTCAGACCACGCGGAACCGCATTGAACCGTTTTGCGTGGAAATTTTACGGCACTGTAGCACGCGAGCCTGGGGGAGAGAGACCAAGGCCTGCACACTGTATCTGCCTACAGAACCAGGGCCTTGCTCTGTTTGGTTGTGAGATACTCGCACGTAACATGACGTGTGACACGTCACGTGTCACACACAAGCAACCCTCACAGGTATACGGGGGGGGAGGGAGTGGGAGGGTCTTGACTCTTGAGCCAAAATTTCATGGTCTAGCTGTGAGGGACTTCATCGGAAAAACATGGCTTGAGGGGTGTGTGGGGGAATGTATCTCGGAAAAAGGGTCTTCGTAGAATTTTCGGGGTTGTGTTTGGTGTGTAGAGCAATGTCTCGGGTATGAGGGACTTCGCCAAATTTTTATTGTTACGAGGGGTATGTGGAGGAATATCTTTGGTCTGGAGGACTATGCCGGAAAAACTAGCAAAGAAACAAAATAGGGAGGTTGTGTAGGGGTGTGGGAGGAATGTATTTGGCACTCGGGGAGACGAGGAATGTATCAGACGAAAAAAACCGCGCTATCTGAATTCTCAGACGGAAGTCTACACCTAGTCTGTACTTTCAGACGAAATATTATGGCTTATCTGGACGATTAGACGAATTAATTTAGCCCGTCAAAAAATCAGATGAATGAGAAAAAACAGGTCTGATTTTCAGACCATCAGACCGATTTCGTCTGATATCTGAGACCTTGATTTGTATATGTTATAACAGGCTAGATAGGTGCATGCTCTTAGAGGGTACAACACTTGAACAAAATCAACCTGTATGTCTCATTCTAGTCAACTTTTTACTCAAAGATGGTATCACGCGCTAGGTTAGGTCCTCCCGGCCGCTCCTAGCCGCCCCTTAGCGCACCGTTAGCGCCCCGTCGCCCCCCCCCTCTGGCCCGTTCGCGCCCGTCGGCCCCGTTAGCGCCCCGTCATCCCCGTGCGCCCCCTCTGGCTCTGCTCGCCCCGCCGGCCTGCTCGCGCCCCGCCGGCCCGTTAGCGCCCCGCCGGCCCGTTAGCGCCCAGTCGGCCCCGTGCGCCCCTCTGGCCCTACTCGCCTCGCCAGCCCGTTAGCGCCCCGCCGGCCCGTTAGCGCCTTGACGGCCCCATTCGCGCCCCGTCGGCCCCGTGCGCCCTTCTGGCCCCGCTCGCCCCACTAGCCCGTTAGCGCCTCGCCGGCCCGCTAGCGCCTTACCGGCCCTGTTAGCGCCCCGTTAGTCTTGTGCGCCCCTCTGGCCCTGCTCGCCCCGCCGGCCTGTTAGCGCCCTACCGGCCCCGCCCGCGCCCCGCCGGCCTAGTGTGCCCCGTCAGCCCTTGCCAGCCGTAGCCAGCCAGCCGCCCAGCCAGCTGGCTCTAGCCTCGCCGGTCCCCGCTTCAGCGGCCAGCCGCCGGAACGTCGAGTCCCAGCGTCGACCCACCGGCTCAGGCACCCTTCAATGCCGGCTTCCCTGCCGGCTGTCTCCACCGCTCTCCACCGCACTCCACCGCACTACTCTGCACTCCACCACACTCCACCGCTCTCCACCACACTCCACCGCACTCCACTGCACTCCACCGCACTCCACCGCACTCCACCGCACTCCACCGCACTCCACCACACTCCACCACACTACACCGCACTCCACCGCATTCCGCCGCCTTTCACCGCTTCCTCCACCTGTCCTCCTCACTCTGTCAGCGGCCGTCAGCAGCTGCAGCAGTGGCGATGGCGGAGTCACAGCTCCGTCTGGACGCAGAGGGCCGGGCGCTCGGCTTTGAGGCGTGGCTCGTTGACCTTCGGCGTCACCTTACAGGTCAGCGCCAGGACGGTCACTCTCTGGCTGTTCATGTCGATGGCCTGCTTCCCCGCCCCCCTGCCCCTGCTGCCCTCCCTGATGCCCCCACCACTGCTGAGCGTGAGGCCTTTTCCGCTGCTGCGCTTGATCGTGTCGTTTGGGACTCGCGCGACGCTGTCGCCTAGCTTGCTATCAGCCATGCGCTCCCGCTGTCTGAGCGTCCTCATTTACCACTGTAGCGAACGCCCATGCCTTCTTAGATGCTGTCATTGCGCGCTATTCCACCCCCGCCACTGCCTCTGCTGGACGCCTGGTCCTCCCCATGCTGTTCCCTGGTCTTGCGTCCTTCCCCACTGTCGCCGACTTTGCCACGCACCTCTGCGCGCTTGAGACGAACTACCGTGCTGCTAGCACCGAGGCACAGCTCACTGCCTTCCCGCCACCGTTCTGCGCTACCCTATATCTCATCGCCACGCGCCTCCCTGGCCGCCTAGCCACATCCCGCGACCACTTTCTTAGCCAGCACCCGAGTGACCTCACTCTCACCGCCTTTGTTACTGCCTTGTCTAAGATAGAGACCCGCCAGCGTAGTATCGCTCAGTCTAGCGGTATTGCGGCGGTGCCTATCTTTTAGGGCTATGCTCCCTTCTAGTGCACTTACTCTGATGTCTCTGCTGCTGTTTTTGAGACTGCTGCTGCGGCCTCAGCGCAGAAGCGTCCGGGTAAGGGTCGCCGCCCCAAAGGGGGGCGTGGTGGGGGAAGGGGGTGTCGATGGGGAGGGTGGCGGCGGTGAGGGCGGGGACGGTGGTTCAGACGAGGGGACCAGGGCTGGTGCCCTGGAGCAGCTGCAGCAGTAGACGCTACCTCAACAGCAGCATAGCACACACAGCAGCCGCAACAGCCGCCGCAGTCGTCGCAGCAGCAGCAGTCGCCGTGGGGACCCCCACCGTCGTGGTTGACTAGCGGTGCTAGCGGCGGTGGTCGTGGGGGGGGCGGGCGCAGCTCGGTGTTGGGTGGCAGCTCCAGCGCGGTCACCTGCTAGTACTAGCTTCAGACCGGCCCTCGCCGCAGCACTGTCTGCCTCCGGCCCGGCCACATAGCCGACCGCTGCTACTGCCGCCTGGACGACCTGTTCTGCCACCGCTTTGGTCTTGCGTCTAACCCTCTGGACTGGTACGCCCTGGCTCATCATCGTTTGCCGGTCTTTGAGCTTGACATGGATCAGATTAGGAATGTTATGTCTGTCATGTATGTAGATGACTCTAGTATGATTGGACCCTATTACCCGGTGTTGCCTAGCGTAGGTGTGTCCCCTGTGTGTAGTCTAGGCTCCCCAGCTGCGTCAGGCGTAGGACCGTCTGCCTTATTTAGTCTAGGCTCCACACTAGCCCCTACGTCGACAGCCGCTAGCGCTTCGCTTTCCTTCACGCTTGACTCCGGTGCGTCTACCTGCTTCTTCCGCGACCATACTTCCCTTACACCGCCTGCCGCCCCAACCGCCGTCGCACTTGCAGACCCCTCCTCCGGTCCGGTTTGCCTGTAGCTCCACCACCCTTCCCTGTCCGACGGCCCCCTCGGGCACCCTTATAGGCCTGCACATCCCCTCATTCTCTAGGAACCTAGTTGGTGTCGGTTGTCTTCAGGACCTCGGCGTCACCACTATGTTCCCTAGTCATGAGCGGTACGCTGTCTGTACCGAGGCTGCCTCCGGTGCCCCCCTTGCGACATTCCCCCGGGACCCTGTGTCTTGCCTGTTTATGCTGGACACTGAGTCCCCCCAGGTAGCCGCGGCTTGCTCGTGTCGGTCGCTCACTCATCCGTCGCTGCTGTGGCACCACCGCCTAGGTCACCCTGCACTCCCACGTCTGCGTCACATGTCCCTGCACGGTCTTGTGCTAGATCTCCATGCATCGCTCCCTTCCCTCCCTCCCTCGCCTGCGCCGCCGTGCTTGCCCTGCGTCGAGGGTGGGCTGCGCCATGCACCTCACTCCTCATGGCTTCACCTTGCCATTGCGCCACTCTAGACCCTGCACCTGGACGTCTGGGGTCCAACCCCCATCCCTGGGCCGCGTCGAGAGTGCTACTTCCTGGTGCTTGTCGACGAATACACACGCTACACCACGGTGTTTCTTTTGGAGTAGAAGGCCGACGTGCCTTATGTTCTTATCCCGTAGGTTGTAGCTGCACGAGTCCAACGAGGTCTCCCCATGCTGTGTCTCCACTCCGACCGTGGCGGCGAGTTTGCCTCCGGTCGGCTTGGCCGGTTCTGTCGTGCGGAGGGCATCACCACCCTGACGGACTCCCCACAGCAGAATGGGGTCGCTGAGCGATGCATCGACTTGGTCATGGAGGTGGCTCGTACCTCCATGATTAGTGCCGGTGCACCCCATTTTCTGTGGCCGTTTGCAGTTCGTTACGCCGCTCACCCGCTGAACCTGTTGCCCCACTCCCAGCGGCCGCAGGTTTCCCCGACCCTCCTCTGGATTGAGTCTCCTGGTGACGCGTCTATGTTCCACGTCTGGGGAGTCCTCGCTCACGTTCGTGCCTCTGGCACGGACAAGCAAACTGCCCGCACTGTACCCTGTGTCTTCCTTGGTTTCCCCGTTGACTCGTCTGACTGGCACTTCTACCACCCGCCATCTCACCGCTTCCTTCACTCGCGTGACGTCACTTTCAAAGAGTCTGTCTCCTTTTACCGTCGCTTTCCCCACTGAAGTCTCCTAGTTTCCCCACCCTTGTTTCTAGTCCCCACGCCCCCAGTAGCCCCTGCTCCCCTCCCTCCCCATCCTGCTCTGTCTGGTGTGTCTCACGTCACTCCCCTCCCGTCGCTTGTCCCGATCGAGGAGTCGGCTGACTCTGGTGGCCCTGCGGCATAGTTCTC